AGGGAACACAAGCAGGGGGAGTGGGAGAGGGAGAAGCAGGCTTCCCGCTGAGCAGGGAGCCCGATGTGGGACTCGATCCCAGGACCCTGAGATCGTGACCTGAGCCGAAGGCAGACGCTTAACGACTGAGCCACCCAGGCGCCCCAAAAGGATTCTTATTAATAAGAAACTATTCTTCATTCAAGAAATGTCTGTTGTACCGGACATCGAGCCCACCCGGGTCACTGTTAAATCCGTAGAAATAGAAATAAAATAAACTTCTCTGCCTGACTGTCTCCTAAACCTCTTTTGCCTCTCTGAACCAGCTGGGCATTTTCTGGCCCAGGAGAGCAGCCAATAAACCCTGGCATGCTTCGTTCTCAATTAGGGCTAGTTTTAATTAAACCAGTGATTCTCCTTTATTAATGGCTTATATTTTACTACCTTCTATACTGGGTCCTGTGACACCATCTCATTAGTCATAGGGACATCTCCTGGCAAAGGCTGGAATTACAAGCCAGAAGAAAAGGCCATTCCTACCAGGGTCTGTTAGGTCTGAGTGAGTGGATTTGTTTTTTGACAACTCAGTTTATAATTTAGTATACCTCTGTCACATCTCAATCTCTCGTTTAAGTGTTTGCTCTCCTTAGGATGTTTAATTCAGTATCTATCCCAGTTTTTTGTATATAGTAAATACTTATTGGTGTTGAATGAATGGGATAAAGGATCCCTGCTGACTACTCCTATTTCTCTCACTTCTGAGAGAAGCAGCAAGAAGGTACTGATGTGCTTGTTGCTGGTGGGTCCTCCCTCCCATGCTCTGTTTTTCATTACCACACAGGGGTGGCATATACATCAGAATGCTTCCCGTGCAAGCCAGGCACATTCAGCAACAAACCAGGTTCGTTTACCTGCCAAGTCTGTCCCAGAAACACCTACTCTGAGAAAGGAGCCAAAGAATGCATAAAGTGTGAAGAGCACTCCCAGTTTTCAGGTAGGACTAGGCTTTGCCAGTTTATGCTCTTTGTTCTTCTCTCTCTAAATTTATGTTTGTTCTGGCTTATGGCCAAAAGCCAGAAGTCACACATCAAATGTGGTGGGAAGAGTGTGCCAGAAACCAAGTGCTGAAGGGAATCAGTATTGAATGGATAAAATACTACTTCTTCTTACCCCTTTGTGCATGACTTTTCCATTTGTCACTTTTTCTGTTCCACACCCCACAGGGATATATTTCTCCCTGTGCTTTGGATATATTTATACTAATCTAAAAAAAAAATCATATTGTAATTTTACATGATTCAATGGAATAGAGGTGTACTCAGAAAATTTTCATTTGTTGCAAATTTACAATGTTCACTGATAACGAAGAAATCTAATGTCTTATTGGAAAAAATGAAATGTTTCCTGTGTATCATGGAAACATTTACTGCTCTAGGGTAAATAGAAATGTAGGCCTTTATTTTCCTTATGCCTAGCTAGTTCTTCCTAAATTCATCTGCTAAGGTTATTTTAAAATTTTAGTTGTCTGGGTTTTTTTGTTTGTTTTGATTTTTTGCCTTTTTTGAGAGTCACAACATAAATGACTCATTTCTGAAATGCGCTTTTATGTTGCAGAGGAAGGATCCAGTGAGTGTATGGAGCGACCTCCCTGTACCACAAAAGACTATTTCCAGATCCATACTCCATGTGATGAAGAAGGCAAGGTATAGGCTGTCTTTAGTCGACTGCATCCCGAATCTAAGCCTCTTCCCAATTTGAGCAGACTCTAATTTGTTCCTGAGAGACTTAAATGAGTTGATTTGTAGCACATGTTTGTAAGTAGGACAGAGGAAATTTAAGAATGTAGATTCTCAATCTGGCTGTTCTGGCTTCAATTTTACACTATTACTTATTAGTGCTGTGGGCCAGTTATTTGCTCTAAGTCTGTTTTTTCATCTGTAAAATGGGGCTAATATCACTTCTTACTTCACAAGGCTGCTATGAGAATGCAAGACATGTTCAGGTTGTGGTTCCTGGCGTAGTGCTCTGCCACACAGGGACTGCTCCATAGGTGACTGCTATTTTTTTTAAATTT